TAAATCTATTGTTCCCGATATCATACACGATATAATTTTGAAGTGTTGTACGGATTAACTTACTATCATATCGCACTTATTTAAATGTGCTTTTAATATTTGACTGATTGTTTATTGTATCAGCGCCTTTGATCTTCATATGTTGGAATTGTTGCGCTTAATTAAATAAAGTTATTATTATTATTATTATTATTATTATATTTAATAAAAGTTTTCAAATTTACTAATGTAATTCCAGTGTACAACAAATATAACGATAAATCTACTACTACCATTTGTTTCCAAAATATTCTTAAACTAATAGTTGTGACGGAGCGTTTCTGTGACGTGAACTTAAAGGGCGATGGTCGTCGCGCCACGCATGCGCGAGATATGGGTCTCATATAAATAAAGATGGCGACTTTGACTGCAGATCAACGAGACGTTACCAAGCTTTAATTAGGTGATTGGAAGGTATCAAAGTAGTCACCGGTGGTAAATAGTGAAAGTCGCGCCCAGGTAAAAACTCAAACTTGTGATTTCCATTAGAAGAGCGCATTCGATTGTGGGAAAATCAATGTTTATCAACACAAATATCGCACATGCGCGCAACTGTATTTGTTATGTAGTCGCTCGCCTTCTAGAATGCAGTAACATCTCTCACAAACATAATTTACATTGGGAAACGATGTCGACACATTGAGTCACCGTTTACATCAGAGGAGAACCTCGGCACTAGATGGCGCGATTTATATAACTAGTATGTGTCTGATTGTAACCTTGCAAAACGCAAGTTCAGATCCTTACAAATATGAATAATGGACTGCATCCTTAATACATTATGGACCTCTTTGTAGAATCTCTAGTGTCAATGAACTTGGTGTAACTCTGCCATTTAATAACTGTTCAAACCTTTAAACTTTTAATATAAACTATTCAAACCTTTAAACTTTTAAACTAGATACAAGTTTCCTATTTTAATAATAATTATCATTCACTTGGCCAGCATTTAACTTGCAAACTCTACATTCCAGGCGTCATTTTTTAGATATATATCATATTGATAAAATTGCGAATTGGTTTTAAAATTGTCATATTTTTACTTTTTATTTTACCAAGTAAATTGTTCTTCAATGTACTGTGTGAATTATTGTGCAGTGTATCTTATAGATACAAAAATGTATGTCAGAGAGAGGAATAACAAATATTTGATCATCCCAAAGAGTACGTCCATGTTCAATTGTGCGAAGTGATAGTTATCATATTGATTATGTTGCTATTTCATAATTCAGTCAAGAAAGTACAGTAGGTAACTCCCTATATGAACCAAAAACTGCACAATTATATCCACAAACTTCGTGTGAACATTTTTGAGAGCTTTTTTCTTATTTTTAACAATTTTTCTCCCTCTAGGGAGTGAGTTGAGTGTTAATAAGGATTGATTAAATAATTGAATAAGATCGAATACACAGTATAAGTAAGGTTTAAATCAAAGCTAACGTCTTGTCTAGTAGCAAAGTTAGGCTGAATTTCACCAATGTCAGGGAAGTGATTTGCAGATAGAGCTTGTATTCAATCCACTAACAACTTCCTTTTTTAAACCCACGTTCAGTTTATTCGTATTGTTCAGTAATTAACAGTTGACTTTAACATTACTGTCTGATTTGTTTCTCTTCCGCTCTAACTTAGATATAAAAACCTTGGTTCACGACTTACAATAAGACTCGGACACTGGGAATTTCTGTGACGTGTTACTGATTCAGCCGCCAGTCCAGTGTAGATAACAGCGGCTGCACATAACTGACGTTTTTGGGATTACAAATAGTATGCTTGCCAATATATTTTCTAAATATAATGCGCTGATAATAATATTGATGTACCCGGAGTATTCTTATCTTACCCGATATATTTCGTATGCGTTCACACATACGGAAAATCAGTACCAAATCCATGGGGGACAATCCAAGTATGAATACCAATACAACATGTAAGACAGAGTTTTCTTTTAAAGCATATTACAGGTGCAGCCAACGAGCAATAAATTGAAATAGTCAATTCTCTGGAACAAAATTTTATGGGCCTTTTGAAGTATGCTAATTAATACAAGCAGCCTCTCGGCTGAGATAGCTCCGCTGTTAGCAATGCACATTTCAATTAAAGAACAGAAGATATCATTAGAAAAAGAACAATATGTATAGTATCAAAGTAATGGGACTTGCTGTTTTCAACAAGAATTCAAAATTATAATTTTTTACCAAAAATGACAAAAATATTCACCAAAATTAGAGAATTGAAGATATCACTACAAAATGAACAAATCTGAGAGAGGTCCACGTGTAGTATCTATATAGGTAATATTAAAGCAATTGGACTTGCGCTTTTTAACAAGAAGTCGAAAATATCACTTTTTACCAAAAATATTCACCAAAATTAGAGAATTGAAGATATCATCATGAAATGAACAAATCTGAGAGAGGTCTATCCAAGGTACATAGACACCAAGTATCAAAACATTCAGGCTTGTAGTTTTCAAGAAGAAGTCGAAAAAGTAAAACATTGACACAGACGACGAACAATCACTCATATGATAAGCTCTGCTCGACGAAGTCGACAGCGGAGCTAATAAAAAAAAGAGGGAAAATTAAAAGCTGTTCATAAGCTACCCTCCACCTGAAAAAAAATTTTTTTTCCTCTCCTGCTCACCAAATTCATCTTTCCCCTCCCCTCATTAAAAAAACACCGATTGATGGCGTAATTCATTGAGTCATTGGCTTCTATGGGCTTCTTGAATACATTAACCACTCAGCAGATCAGTGGGCGACTCGCATTTTCAGTTATTGATAGCACACGGCTGCCCACATTTAGCAGATGTTATTCCCGCCAATGCGTTTTTTTATTATACCCTGCCCTAAAGGCCGTTTTGCCCACCCTGCGATATGTTTTTATGTAAGTACGCTACCCACTTAAAAAAAAAAGTTTCCCTGTCCTTGCATTTTTTTTAGAAATCTGCCCTGCCCACTGGGGGTACTGATATTTCCCACCCCCTACAAAAAATAGAAAAAATCCCCTACCCAAAAAACAAACTGATGTGCACCTGTAACCCAATATGCATTATCGTGATACAAAGTTTGAAAGAAATCAATCTGTCCATCTCGGAGAATCATTTCCAGACACTTAAATATCAGAATTCATCAAATTTTAGGTCCAAAATGGCCACCAGTTGGTCATGTTAGATCAAGTTGTCATAAAAATTGATGTGCATATGCAACTCGTACATTATTTTCATGTGGAAGATGGGGAGTTGTCACCTGTGCATACATACATCAGATGGCCATAGCGCATCATTTTTTACAAACAAGCATCTACCCATGAGCCTTTGCAGTGATAAAACCCACCCCACCCCCAACAGCTGCTGTGAATTAAGGAAAATTCAAACAAGCGAGACGCCAGACACTTAAATATACAAAACAAAGTGGCACAATTTTCAGAACATTGAATGGATAAAAATACAAAGCCCAATATTCATTACTTGTATCTTGTATTGAAGTTTAGGTTCAAGGTTAGACTTAGTCACTCATTTATTTTTTGTGTTCTTTTCAATAAAATAAAATTTGACAGTGTAGATGGTGAAACCCATGTAACCCAGCTTTCACCATAAACTTTTTATTTTTATTAAAAAAAACACTAAACAAGAGACTGTATGCAAGTCTACTTCAAGCCATGAACCAACAAATGAATTCTATATTTTCGTTTTATTCACATTGAATATTGATTCTGAATTG